AAATAGATATATATCTGAGGGTTTTATATCTATATATCTATATCTATATATCTATATATCTATATCTATATATCTATATCTATATACATGTATATATGTGTATATGTATATGTATGTATATATATATATATATATATATATATATATATATATATATATATATATATATATATATAGAGAGAGAGAGAGAGAGAGAGAGAGAGAGAGAGAGAGAGAGAGAGAGAGAGAGAGAGAGAGAGAGAGAGAGAGAGAGAGAGAGAGAGAGAGACATTACGGGCTGGCTAAATCGCTGTCAGGGAACAATCATAAGAGCAATGGTTTCTAATCACGCCTGAGAGTGTTTCTTAAAACACTGAAGATGACCCTTTATCTCTGGAATGCAAAAAACGGCTGACAGAAGCGCATCTCTTATCGCCATGAACGTTCTCCGCCCGCGCTTATCATTCCACCTTAACTTTTCAACAGTTGATAAAGAGATGGAAGGAGGAAGAAAGAAAGTAAGTACAAGTTTGTACATGTACATGTATATATATATGTATATGTATACACACACAACATATATATATACACACATACATACATACAACCACACACACACACACACACACACACACACACACACACACACACACACACACACACACACACACACACACACACACACACATACACACACACATACACATATATATATAAATATATATATATATATATATATATATATATATATATATAAATATATATATAAATATATAAATATATAAATATATAAATATATATATATATATATATATATATATATATATATATATATATATATATATATATATATATATATGAATACGTACACATATCCATGCTGAAATACAAATATGAAAAAGAAAAGAATCCATTCACATAAGCAATCCCAACATACAAATAGCCTGCGGGCAGAATTAAGCAATACGAAATACTGATTCAAATGTCCTATCTAGGTTTCGTGTACAGAGCATCTATTGTTTGGAAAATGATTATGATAAAATGGTAAGGACTTGTCACAAGTGGGATATCTTCTTTTATATTTTTTTTCGATAAAACATAATACAACTCGAAATGACGCTCGAGTCATTTCCAACCTTTACCTTTACTGAAATATTAATACTAATAATGATAATGATAATAATAACGAACACACAACAACAACAATAATAATAATAATAACAATAATTAAATAATAACAATAATAATAATATTAATAATAACAACAATAATAATAATAACAATGACAATAATAATAATAATAATAATAATAATAATAATAATAATAATAATAATAATAATAACAATAATAATAATAACAGTAACCATAATATAGTGACAGTGGCAGTAGTACTAAGAGTACTCACTAGTAGTAGTAGTAGTTGTAGTAATAACAATAATAATAACAAAAATAAAATTAATAAAGATGATGATGAAGATGATGATAATAATTATAATTATAATTATAATTATAATTATAATAACAACAACAACTACAAAAATAGAAGGGAATCACTCTCACCTCTAACAAGCAAAGACAAACCAAAAAATGAAAGGCTTATTAGTTGAGAAAGAATTCGCCTGCGCCCACCCTTAGATACGGCAACCACGCGGCGAGTTTCTACATTGTTCAGCTCCAAAAACAAAGGGCAGCGCACCATTCTGTGGTTTTAGTAACATCAGCTCATGGCAGGGTATATGAGTAACGGAGCGGGGGAGGAACCGCTTGGTACTCGACAAAATCTGCTGTTCTCGTTCTTGGTTCCCAAAGTCGTGGATGAAAAACAATAAATGTAACGTAATATATATATGTGTGTGTGTGTATGTGTGTGTGTGTGTGTGTGTGTGTGTGTGTGTGTGTGTGTGTGTGTGTGTGTGTGTGTGTGTGTGTGTGTGTGTGTGTGTGTGTGTGTGTCGTGTGTGTCTATAAACGCTAATACTATATGATCTAAAATCCTGCTTGGTCAAGACATCCTAATCCAGAATGAGATGAGGAAAACTGAGATTAAATATCCTTGCAAAAACATTATTTCTTGCTCATGTTCATACTTATAACTAGGCTGGTTGCCACCAATCCCTCTCTTCTACTGCAGAAAAAATATCTATTAAAACCTTTACTTAGAGAAGCAACTAATGTTTTCCTCCTTACAGACTGATGGACGCACATCTACTAAATTACAATAAAAAAAATCATGATTTATTCCAGATAAAAACACAATAACTTGTACTGTTTTGTCATACAGCATCTATGTTTGCTTAATTAGATCACAAGTGCGCTTGGATGGCTGACTGTCGACATACACAGCTGACCAAGAAAAATTAAATCCTTGTTAAATTTTATTCATCAAGTCCCTTTTCCTGAAATGACGTATAACCTAAAAGCGATTCGGTAATATCATAAACAAAAACAACAAACAAAAACACACAAACGCACGGAAACACACTTATACACACACACACACACACACACACACACACACGCACGCACACACACACACGAAAACTTGCACACTCCAACACGCGCTCACAATCGCTCATAGACTATCGCATCGTAATCATAGCAGCGATTAGTGAAGAGGATGATACAGTATATATTGTAAATATTAATCTTCGTGTATGCGTAACTTATGCCTGTCAGGAATGTTGATAATTTGACAGACATCGTGCATTAATAAAAAATTTAAAAACAAAAATATAGGGTGAGGATAAGAAACGACAACGAACTAACACGAAGCAAGGATAGTAATGAGACATGGAGAAAGAGAAACCTCAAGGAGACAAAGAAAGAAACAAAGAAAGGACAACAAGGAAACTCCTATGATACTAGAGAACGGAAGCAGGAGGGTATGGCCATGGCAATAAAACCATAAAAATAACAATGGAACGATACACAAAGAAAAAAAAAGACAGTAAAGTAGACTCGATAGCAAAACAGAAAAAGTGATAAAGAAAGCAACAAAAACGATAGCCAAGTCAAGTAAAAACACACACACGACAATAAAACAAAAGAACGAAAATAACGCAAAGAAAAACAACAACAAACAATGAAACTAAAACAACAGCTAAAATCAAACTAAAGCAAACGAGAAAGACGATAACGAAGCAAAGTAAAAAAAAAAAAAAAAGAAAGCAAAAAAAAAACAAAAAAAACAAAACAGACACGACAATCGAACCAACAAACAAAACTGACACGGGAGAAGAGTGAAACAAAATAACCAAACAAATAAATAGATAAAGAAAAGAAGGTGAAACAGCCAGGCAAGGCAACCTACCGAGAGGAGACTCGCGGCGTTGGAGGTGACGCTGGCCATCGTGGGTCTGGACTGGGCCTTCGCTCGGGCGTTCGCTCCGTCTGCGCCGTGGTGCCCCGCCGCTTCTGTGGGCACGAGGGCGAAGGGAAGGGCTTAGGAACGCACGTAGGTCGGCTGGCGAGGGTGGTGGTGGTAATGATGGTGGTGGTGATGATGATGATTTGATAATGATGATGGTGATGATAATAATAATAAAAAAAAAAATAATAATAATTATTATTATTATTATGATAATAACAAAAAGAATAATAATAAGCCAACACAATAATAATAATAACAGTAAAAAATATAGGAATGATAACAATATAACAACAATAATAGAGTACCAATGAAATACAGTACAAATCTAGGGATCTTACATTCTATACTGAATACATAAGCTCTACACCTCTCCTCCTGTCACAAATTAGCACATATCCACAGAAGAGATTAATACAACTCCACAGAGGACGAAACTGTCCAATCAAGACTACTATTATCCATGTAACTATTTGGTAACATTTCTTCTCTAATCCTCCATCAGTAGGCCAGAAACATGGCTAGTAGTATAATGCATCTCACAGCAAATCCTCTAGAATACCGCAGCATCACTTGGCTCACGCTGCTGTTGTTTCTTGCCAGGACACCATGTGCTCTCTTTGGCTTCAATGTGACGATACAGATACGGATTACTATAGACAGTGGCATGAGCAAATGAGGAACAAACACAGGGAGACTAAAAAAAATAAATAAATAAAAAGATATACAGAAAGACAGAGATACAAACAGATAAGTAGGTAGACAGACAGACTGACAGACACGCGCGCGCCTCTCTTCTCATCCCCTTGACCTCCCGATTCCCCATCCCTTCCACCTATCCCCACCCAATCCCTACCCCTGCGATCCCTATCTCCCCTTGAGGAAAAAATAAAGTAAAAAAAAATTATCGGTTAAAAAAGCATAATTTCGGGAGCAACTGAAGTCAAGTAAGTTGATACAGTATTCCCACGGCTCCTCCTGACCTTGGCTCTGAGATACGGACGCCCCCTCGGCGGCGAGACGAATGCTGTCGGGCAATGAAGGGGTGGGGGGGCAAGAGGGAAAGGGGAAGGGAAGAAGGGAAATAAAGAAGAGAAACAGGGGAAGAAAGAGAAGAAATAGGGAAGATAAGGGGGAGAAGAAAGAGATGAAATAGGGAAGATAAGGGGGAAAAGAAAGAGATGAAATAGGAAAGATAAGGGGGAAAAGAAAGAGAAGTAGGGAAGGGGGATGGAGAGAGATAAGTTGGGTAAGGGAAGGGAAGAAGAAAAAGGAAAAAAATAAGGAAGATGAAGGGAAGAAGAAAGAGAAGAAGTAGGGAAGTATGGGGGAGAACGAAAGTAGGAAAATAAGGAGGAGAAACGAAGGAGTAGGGAATGGGAAAAGAAAACGAAAGAGAGGAAAGTGGAAAGGGGGAAACGAAAGAGAAGAAGCAAGGCATGGGGAAGAAGAGATGTTGGGGAAGATGAAGGAAGGGAGGAAGAGAAGCAAAAGCACTAGGGAAGAGGAATGGAAAAAGAAAGAGTAAATCAAAGGGGAAACAAAGAGCAAAGAGGGAGAAAGGGAAAGAGAAGGAAAGACGAAAGCGAAGAAATAGTGAAGGGAAGAAAGAGAAGAGAAGAGAAGGTGAAGAGAAAAGGAAAAGGAAGAGAGGGGAAGAAGAAGAGATGAATAAAAAAAAAGAAAAGGGAAGGAGGGTTGGAGGAGGAGAAGGTGAGCGAGATGAGACAGAAGGACAGGAAAGAGAAGGAGAATAAAGCCTGTGGACTATCGCAAGCAACTAAATAAAATCTCTCTCTCTCTCTCTCTCTCTCTCTCTCTCTCTCTCTCTCTCTCTCTCTCTCTCTCTCTCTCTCTCTCTCTCTCTCTCTCTCTCTCTCTTACACACACACACATACACACGCACACACACACATATATGTGTGTGTGTGTGTGTGTGTGTGTGTATGTGTGTGTGTGTGTGTGTGTGTGTGTGTGTGTGTGTGTGTGTGTGTGTGTGTGTGTGTGTGTGTGTGTGTGTGTGTGTGTGTGTGTGTACATATATGTATATATATGTTTACACATATACGAACACATACAAACATATACACACATACCTTAGTAAAAAATGAAACTAACCTCTCTTTATCTCTTAAGAACTTAATACAGTTAAGCTTGGTGATACTCTGGATTAACTACTAAGAAAAATTACGATTAATTGTAGTTCTAAATTGTGAAATAATCATGGCGAAGTCAGGATGCACTATTTCACGGGCAAAACTGCTAAGGAACTATAAAGTAACTCAACCACTTAATAAAAACCTATCAGTAGCTGTCATAATAATAAAAAAACACATAGTAGCAACGACAATGATATCAGCAATAACAAAAAAATACCATTGACGACAATGATGGCAATTTGGACAATAATGGTCATCATGTAAAAAATAATGATGATGATGATAACAATAATGATGATAATAATAAAATAATAATAACAATACTAACAATGATGATAATATTAACAACAATAACAATAATAATAATAATAATAATAATAATAATAATAATAATAATGATAATAATAATAATGATGATAATGACAATAGTAACAATATATGATATACATATATCATGTATATCATACATACATAAGTGCCCAGAGAGTGATGGAAAGGAGGATGGAAAATCGACAGAAAAAACGGAAAAGATTGGGAGAAGCCTACGTCCTGCAGTGGATTGATACAGGCTGATGATGATCACACACACGCACGCACGTACACACACACGCAAATAATGAGAGACCGTACATACACCGCTATGAAATTATTGAATCATTGGACAGGGCGCATGAATCACTGAACCACATACTGATAAATTTGTATAAACAAATATTTCTTTACGTGACTGCATGCAAATGATACGCAACACATATTTTCACCTTATGTGTGTGTATACTGTTCAAACATAATTGCACTCACCCCACGCAAACGGACACAATCATATATGTATTTATGCTTACGCTGTTCCCACACATTTTGCGCATAAATGTGCTTTTCACTTCGTCACTCCCCAAACAAAGCAAAACTGTTTGTCATGAAGTCTAGATTATGAAACATTTTCATAATATCAATTATTTTTATCATAATAAAAGCAATGTTTTGTTCATTTCATTGCTTATTAGTATGCCTGGTAACCAATCATTCCTATTAAAACTGAGGTCAATTTCAACCACCAACGATAAACAGTATACATTACATATAAAAGGTCCTTAATACAAGGAGATACCTTAAGAAGTTACACCTTTTTGCGTTTCCAAGCTTTATAAATAAATAACATATAAAATAATTTACATCAATGGAAAGGAAATTTAATCCTACACCCCAGAAAAGCAAAATCTTGTGCCTGTAATGATAGTTTTCTTACAAATTGTTATATACTATTGACAGTAAATATTTTTGTTTGCTGGATAATTTCAATTCAATCTTTTGACATTCCGTTTTAGCGCATGCCATTACTTCAAACATCTAAATTAAGTACAATTTCCCCCTTCAAAACGAGACCAAATCAAACTCTCGTCAATATTTATTAAGTTTGGTACGATGAACCCATCAACCTTAAAAAGCAATAAAAAGGACACCGCACAAAACGACAATCAACCAGAACACCAAAGTCCTGTCGCTTTCTTCGGAAACACGACATTCGGTGACGCGCCTCACACTGCTGAAAGGTACCCACCGCGTGCGATGCCGGTCCGAGCAGGACTGAAGCGGGCGACCAGAGCTCTCGTCCCTGTCGCCGACGCCGAAGCACGGTACCTCAAACTCGCCCGCGTTATCACATGCTCGCGGTGGGAAAAGAACAGCGCCGTGCAGGATGTGGAAACGGCACAGGGAGGGGGCAAGGGGAGTACAGGGGGAAGGGGAGAAGGAGTGTGAAATGGAATGAGACCGAGAGAGGGATGAGAGAGTGAAGAGAAGTGAAGAGAAGAGAAGAGAAGAGAAGAGAGAGAGAGAGGGTGGGGGGGAAGAGAGGGAAAGAGAGAAAAACAGAAAGAGTGAGACAGACAGATAGATAGATAGACAGAGAGTGCTATACATGTGTGTGTGGATATATGTACTGTATGTATGTATATATGTATATATATATATATATATATATATATATATATATA